TGAGCTGCCCCCTGAAGAACCTGCCCCTGACGAGCTGCCCCCCGAAGAGCTGCTCCCCAGCGAGCTGCCCCCCGAGGAAGACCCTAAGCCACCAGGTAAATGGGGGACCTCTGGGTTTGTCCCTTTTTTCCCCTCCTATTGACTCCCATGGGTGTGGGGGTTCCATACCTGGGTCCTTTCCCAGCACTGGTCTTGTGTGACCCTCAACCTGTTGACCCTGATTTTGTGCTTCAGTGCCCCATTTTGGGGGTACGTGGGGGGGGTGGCAGGTCCCTGGGCCAGGCCAAGGCAATGTTTGTTGCCTCTCAGCCCCAAGCTGGGTTACACAGTGAGTAGAGGGGACCCCTGTGTACCCCCCTCACCTGCAGCCCCATCCCACAGGTCTCCTTCCTGAGGTGGCTGTGGCAGAGGAAGCACCAGCCCTGGCCCCAGAGGTGCCCCCTGAAGAGGAGATGGAGATGGAGCCGGAGCCCTTACTGCCCCCCGAGACGGCACCCCCACCCCCGGCTCCCCCAGGTGGGTTTGGGGATGCACTGGAGTTTGGGGAAGGGGATGTGTGTGCGTCTCTGGTGAGGGCTCTGTCTCACCGTCCCCTCCTCTCTGCTCCCCCAGATCTCCGCGCCATCTCACCTGCCCACCCCCCAGACCCCTTGCCTGACGCCAAGGAGGACAAGGTGCCCGAGCCGCCCACCCCAGCCCTGCCCGAGCCCCCCGGCAGCCCCGGCACTGCCATGGACACTGAGCCCCCCAGCTCCCCACCACCCCCCCTGGGCTCACCTGCCTGCACCCTGGCCCCTGCCGAGCCCCCCGAGGATGAGGAGATGGAGACAGCCGGTGGTGAGGGGGAGTCACCAGCCAGCCCCCCTGGAGATGGCCCCCATGCCAGCCCAGCCCCGGAGCTGGGGTCCTTCCCTGGCCTGCCTGAGGAGGAAGAGGAGGAGGAGGAAGAAGCACCGAGGCTGGAGCGGGAGGGCACCAGTGGGAGCTCCCCACCGCTGAGTGAGGAGGATGCGCTGGAGGAAGGCCGGGCTGGGGGGGACGCCGAAGCCAAGGGGTCCCCCCTGCTCCTGGAGCCGGAGGAGCTGGGCCCTGAGACCCCCATGGAGGTGTGCGCTGCTGGGGAGAAGCTGCTGGGGCGTGGGGACGAGGGGGGGCCCGAGCCCCCAGCCCTGCGCCCCCGACCCGACATCCTCAATGAGATCTCCAACCTGAGCCAGGGGGACACCAGCAGCAGCTTCCCTGGCTCGGAGCCACTGCTGGGCTCCCCGGACCCCGAGGGTGGGGGTTCGCTGTCCCTCGAGCTGGGGCCAGCTTCGGCCGACGCCAGCCTGCAGAAGGAGGACGCCGGATCGCTGCCGCTGGGTGCCGAGACCGATGACTCGCTGCTCTTCGAGCCGGCTGCCAAGGGGGATGGGGACAAGAGCCGGCGGCGCAGCTCCCCGGGGCGCTCCCGTGTCAAGCAGGTATTGGGGGAACCCTGCCAGCCCCAATCTCGGGAGGGGGGGACCCCACCACCCTCCCTGCCCTGCCGGGGCCGTGCCCCCCCTCCCCGGGTTGCCGCTGCGGCAAGTAGGTGAGGGCCGAGCACGCGATGGGGGGTGGGATGGGGGCCGTGCCCCTCCGCTGCCCCTGTCCTGGCCAGGATGCGTGGTGGGGGTCCGGTCGGGGCCCCCTCCCTGGGTTGCTGTAACCGCCCTCTCCCCTTGGCCATAGGGTCGCAGCAGCAGCTTCCCCGGGCGGAGGCGCCCCCGAGGTGGGTCCCACGGGGGCCGGGGCCGGGGCCGTGCACGCCTGAAGTCGACCACCTCATCCGTTGACACCCTAGCAGTAAGGCTGGGCTGGGGCAGAGGTGGGGGG